GTGCGTGCGAAATACGTGATGATAAAATGCAGGTTGTTTACAGGAAATTGACACGCAATGGGGTAAAGTCCAGATTAGTTAAAAGCGAATTTTATTGGTAGAAAACGTCTAAACACGTGAGAGTTGCGTGGAAAATTAACCGACCGTACCATTCTGTCCCTTGTGAAATATTTTTCATTGAGGTAGATTTATGTCATAAAATTTACGTTGTTTACTGGAAAATGGCATTTCATCTCAGAAAGTCTAATCCATACTGGCGAGTAAAAAGTAAACACGCAATTGTAAGGGGAAAGTATTGTTTAAACAAAAATAATTTAATTCTTGGAGAACTTTTAGAAGCAAAGAAACGGATATGTAACGAGGCAGTCGACGCAGAAAGTAAATGTAACTTGGTGGTCGTTTCAACCGCTCCTAAAATAGCAACCATATGGCAAAGAAAAAGATAATCAAATATGATTTATGCAAATGTTTTGCGCAAGTTTTACCATAGTCAGCAGAACTGGCCCTTCCAAAACAACACGCTATAGCGCTAAATTCGTGTTAGGCCTTTAGCTGACGGTGTGTGCGTCGCAAGGGAAGGAGCGGTACACAAGACGTGAACGTTTTAACTCGCTAATCGGTAGAAAAAGTTCCCTGATCACCTTTCAAATCCAGACAGATCATAGCGATAAAATCCTCACGAAGGACATGAGGCATTACATTGAATAGATGATCTTACAACTCTTGTAGATGTCATCTTTCCTCGTTCCTTGAGCGAAATTCGAAATTGGAATCGCTGATTAACTCATATATAGCAATGAAGTATCCTGACGTTGCTCCTATCAACATCTCAAGTAATATTTGAATCAAAATTTTCTCATGTTCCACTCAGTCTCCTTCAGAAGGAAGAAAAAGCATAGTCATACAACGATCACAACTCCACCGCTTTCACAACTCGTCTGATACATTTCCTTAATTCGCGAACCGCTCTCTCCGACTCACGCTTTGATTCGCTGAGATTTGAAGACCTGTCAAACCACAAATTAGCAAGAACACTCTGTTGGTGCGACATCAAAAAATACTACAATCTGATTGGTTTGTGATACATCAAAAATGGGCCAATCATACTGCGTTGAGATACACAAAGAAAAAGATGCGCCAATCAGATTACTTAGAGATACACCAAATTGCGCTGATCAGATTATACTACACCACAATACACCAATCTATACGATAACATATAGTTATTTTTTTTTTTAAAAAAAATAACTCAAAAAAACGGGTTATACGCCTCAATAAAAATGGCGGACTGACGGTTGAGACCTGAACCCAGTTCACGAAAACGAGGCTTAAGAGGCATAAGTTGACCTAATGATCCTGATGAGGCTGTAAGTTTTGTTCCAAAGGTTGTGGATCGTGCAATTGCCGATCGTTTCATCGCGAAATTCAGAGGGATAGGTCGATCTTACGTTGCTTGAATATATCTTATTGAGTGTTTTGTTGTAGAAATTGCGGCGAGTTAGATACACAAAGAGCTCAACAAGGACGGCCTGAGGTAAAATGAGCTAAAATGCAAGGGAGAGAAGTGCAAAGGCAACAACAAAAACGACCGGGCTCAAAACACATACAGCTTCTCTAAAGGATGAATATCTTAAAGGACCACGCTTAATCAGGATGCATTGCGCGAGTAGTGGTCTTTTTCAGTATTTCTGTATTACAGAAAAGGGAAGCCTACCGTGCGTTTAATATTACTCGATTAAATCTTTACAATCTTGATCGGTGAGAATCTAAACAGCGCAGGTTGCGGGTCGTGAGTTGCGGGTAAATTGTCGCGGGTCGCAGGTAAACTGTTACGGGTCCCGAAAATTGTCGCGGTCAAGGAAGATGTCTTTTCCTAAATGCAACACTTCTCACCACGAACGGCTGCTTTGATGCAACCGCATTCTTTGTGCAAATATTTTTATTCACTGGCACTATCTCAACTAACTTTCTAAAGTTTTCGCTCTTGGAAGTTCCCTGGCTCTGAAATCCTCGTCGATTTCTCGATAAACATAATAAAACTGTTTTCAAAATCGTTTGTTACGTTTTTGTATGTTTTTGCTAACCTGCCGTCAGCGGGCTTCTAAAATTAAAAATAGTTTTTAAGTTCAGTGCATAGCTGCTCTAAGTTCATCTGTGGTATTCCGGTTTTATTTTTGACGACTTTTTTTTTCCGGTATTGTTTCTGACGATTTTTCATCTACATTCCGCGATTACAAGTTTCTGAGCTTGTAAAATTTTGTAAGGGAATTCGGGTGGGCTTATGAACGGTGGGAGCTGGTATGCGGTATAAAAAACACTATAGATTTCTCCAGCTGTTATATCATATCTAACAACGTGACATGTAGTTGTGTAACTGAAATATCAGACATATGATGGGCAAATTAGAATTAAACCAACAGACGGCTTTATTCAAGACACGCCTTCCATTTACGTAATTTTACAAAGAGAATAGGCCCCCGAGGGTGGGACTCCGATGTCAAAGGAGTGGAGATACCCAGATAACCGCGGTATCGATATGTTGTGGGGAGAAAACGATCCCTTTTCGGGTATTATTGCGGTCACCATACCTGCCCTTCAAAGCCGGACAGTACGTGAGGACCCACTCTAACTCTCTCAAACTCAAAGTAACGTTAAACTGTCGATGATGGAACAAAGAGGGGACGATTGAAGCCCAGTAACCTCTTTGTGTAAATGGAAAACGTGTCTTAGATAAAGCCATCTGTTGAAAAAACTAGTGCGTTCACATCTATACATTATTTGGAATAGCTCATTTTCACAACGCTGTTTTTTCTGGCCCGCAGCATTTCGCAGCCGTTTGAAGTCTCCTCCCCACAAACGGCTACTTTGATCTGAACTGCATGCTTACCAATCAGGTCGCAGTAAATCGACAATGATGCAAGTGTTAGCGCAAAAATCGCCGGTCTTTCCAGTGAATGCGGTACAAGATGCTTTGGTTTCCGCTCACCCTTCCACCTAGGTAGCTTGATTGATTATATGATACCCCGCAGCCTACATTTTTGGGAAAAGTGTGCCAGTGTTATTCTATGCCAGCTATGAACGTCAAAATAAATAAATTAATAAATAAATAAAACCGGAGAAGAAAAATCGTCAAAACTACAACCGGAAAAAAAAAAGTCAAAATTACAACCTCTTAGACCTCGCTTTCGTGAACTCGGTTCTTGACTTCCGCCATTTTGATTGAGGCGTATAACTCCCGTTTTCTACCAACGTTGGAAGCTGAACAATCAGTCTCTGGAACTGATTTTCATTGTATTTGCAAGAAGCGTCCGAGCTGTGATCGAGTATTGACGAGGATCGAGTCCTTACGATATGCTCACAAGCACGCTGGTTAACACCATGGTAAGCCTAATTAATAGTCGTTATTTATAGTTTCAAATTCATGAGCAGTTTTTTCACATAATCTGTGTAAAGTATTGATTTGAATAATCTGTTTACAGTAATCTCATTTGAAATTAACTCTCGTAACCCTTAGATCAAAAACTCGAAAACTTGGCGCTTTTAGTTCATATTTTCCGACGTGCTGTTAAAAAACTTGACTAGAAAGAAATGTGTCTCAGTCTCAGGAAAAAATCAAATCCCTTCAGTTGTCACTGTGAGGACTGAAAAAGACACAAAAGACACAAGTGGTTATTTGTGCCTATTAGTTCTCCCCAGAGCCGGGAATATGACTTTTAATAGATAAGATAAGATAAGATAAGATAAGATAAGATGATGACTTTATCTTAAGAGGGTAGCACGTAACAGTTTAAGTACAACTGATGACCCAGTGGCCCTCTATAAAGTAATATAATCAATACATAAAATTAACATAAATGAAAGTAATAATAATTTGATATAATTTAAAAACCTATTAAAAAGAAAAATACATATGTATATATACTAAAAGTTCATAATAAGAAAAACATGCCAAAATATCATCCTCCATATTATAAAAAATTCATATCACTATTTTGTTTACTACGTAAATTGTTTATAACTTTCTTTTTCAAAGCTTTGGCATTCTTTATTTCCTTAGGTCTTTATCCAGGTTATTCCATTCTTTGATTGATCGTACGGTAAATGTTCGCCCACCTTCTGTTTCACTTTTGTAACGGGGACAATTAAAATTTAAGTTACTAAAGCGGGTGCTTCTATTGTGGGTGTCAGAGTTCAATTTTAGCATTTGCTTCAGATAGACTGGCGTCTTTCCTAGATAGATAGATAGATAGGTAGATAGATAGATCGTTTATTAAAAAGAAACACCTCGCAGTCCGAAGACTGAATTACGTGTATAATATACAATACAAGAAACAAAATTCATAGTTAAAATAGTTTTAAAATCTTAATAATAAAAATATACAAATCTAATAAAAAGTTTAACTTAGGATGATCTTGTGTTAAAAAAATATACATACTTAAACATATATATTTACATCCTTAGGCTATGGCTAACAATAAAAGATTTTTTCAGATGATCAGTCTTGCACACTGGCACGTTAAACTTCCTATTGTTGCGCAGCTGCCTGTGGTGCTCAGCTTTAGGTGGGAGCAGACCTGCGAGCTTGTGATTAATGTCAAGAACAATGTCA